GTTAAGTTCTGGGTGTTTTTTTTTTTTGGTGGCTGGTGCCTTACCTTAGGGATCCGCAAGAGGGTGCCCCTAATTGTGGAAAACCCTAATCTTTACGAACCTATATATAATCATTTCATTTTCCATTGGCTTTTCCTCTTGATTCTCCATTTCGGGGGGACAGTATGCGATCCCTAATTTTGGGAAACTCCCAAATCCTTAAACCCAAATCTTAAACCCCAATTAATAGTGCCAACTCTCTGTTCCATTATCCCTATATTGCCCCGTATTGTTATTTTTTTTGGAACCCTCAACCCTAATCCCAAAGCGCCATATATCCCCGTATAACCCCTTTAAGGATACCCCCATTTGCGAAACCTCCAAATGCAAGGTTTTAGCCTTGTCAATGGTGCAGTAGTCTCGGGGAAAGGCGTCTGACTGCATCTCACATGAGCTACAGTCTGAACTCCTTAAAGGGGTGTTGCATAGGGGAGCATTACAGGAGTTAAGGGGGATACTAGGAGTGTGGACTTTAGTTCACATGGACCGAGTATTGTGTAAGAGCAACCCATACTGACTGTGGCTGCCCTCACGCGGTTTCATGGAGGTGCTGCGGGAAGAGCATGCTGTGACGAGCGGTCGATGTCTCAGCCCGAATACCGATTGCATTGTGGGCTAGTTAGCCGCGAAAGCTCGCAGTTGAATTTCAATCATGCATCCCCAACCGTTCTGAGTATCTTGATGGTGGCCGCTTGTATTAATGCGTATCGTTGTGATGCGCATTGTGAAGCTTGCACGGAGCCCATTATATGAGCAGAAGAAGACATCATTCCTGACTATTCCAGGTACCAACCCGGGCGCCTTCCTCACGCCTGAGCGCCGCGTGAGTCAACCACTTGAGACGACGCCGAACCCGCTCTCGGCACCGAGCCCTTTCGCTGCACTGGTCCTCCTGCTGACCTTTCAGGGGCACAACAAGTCCTTGGCAACAATCTTTTCAGGCAGAACCACCAACTTCGCAAGGGCCGCAGCAGATAATTCTGACGCGCTGACGCAACCAGGCCTGCCTGCAACTTGGTGCTATGTTTGCTGTGGTGTCAGCTGTGTCCAGGTCGGCTTTGTACCACAACTACGCATGATCATGCCCAATTGACCTGTGGTCTTGGGGCGGGAAAGTTTTCATGCCGGCACCGCGCAAAGATCCCACCATCGACCCCCAGCATTCCTGCGATTGTGAGGCAGTACCATCATGCCTGCACATAGTGTTCGGTAGGCTGTGCCAACCACTAGAGGCCACACCATGCTGTGGGACGGTTTCATGGAGAGCGCTGAGCAGGTTGCTTCTTTGCTGAATCTCGCTGGCATCACTCCTGTTAGTTCCCTGCAGGTTTCGTGGAAGCGCCCACCATGCCGCCCGCCCCTGCCAACAACCCGTATGCGAACCAGACACTTGATGTAAGTTGGCAGTTGATTTTCGTATGGGAGTTTCTCAAAAATTGCCCTTCTAGAGTCCTCGAAAGGAACTCCGAGAATCCCATGTTAACCCCATGTACCTGAAGGGTGTGCTTGTTTGACAAACTCCCACACATGCTTCTTTCAGGAATTGTTGACTTGCGCTGCTTCTCACATTGGCTTAGGTTCGGCACTTCTGCTCTAGCAAGCGGAGGTGCGGCTAGGGGTGTTCTTCAGATTGACACTTGACACGCAAATCATGTCATGAGGCTTCAGCACTGGATGTCAATGGTTAGCAGAAGGTGTAATCAGCTGTCCGCCAGCCCCACATCAGCACATGGCAGGTGGCCCATATACAAGTTCTGGTGTAATTTCAGAGTTGCTGGCCATCACAGTCTTCACTCAGCAATTATATTGCTACTAGTATTATTGCTATCATTAAAGGCCTCGCGTGCCTTTCATGTCATCTAGAAGCGGGCTCTTCAATCGCTGGGACCTTTCTTTGGCAAAGTGTTTAACTTAATTACTTAATTGGTAATAAAGGAATATAATGCCCATTTAACCCCCATATAATATATTCCTTTATTCCCTACTATAAGAACCAGTAAGAGAATCAAGGCTCTCAAGCCATGCGTTTCTTCAAGAGACGGGTTTGTTGTATCTGATGCCCGGAGATCTTTTCAGCAACGATCCGTGCGAAAAAACCTTCAATTCACTGGGTCTTGCATTTGGATCCCTATATAGCGCATTATAGTAGTTTCCATTTTCTCTTCCATTATCCCCATATAACCCCAATATAGTCCCTATAACCCCTATATAACCCCTATATAACATAACCCCTATATAACCCCTATGTAACATAACCCCTATATAACCCCTATGTAACGTAACTCTAAGTGCCAGGGGCTCCTTTCGGAAGCAATCCGTACGCGCAAAGTGAGAACCAGAGCGCTGGCAATCTTTCGGGTGGAGCTGCCCCGCGGGCTGCCCCAGAGCCAGCGCCCTGACAACAAAACCTTGTGGCTTTACAGTGGTTGTAGGGTTATCTAAGGGGTGTAGGGTTTAGGGATCATATCGGGATTAATTATGTAGGGTTATATACGGCTAAGGGATATTACTCCAATAATGGAGACTCACATCGGAAAATGGAAGCTGAAATGAAATCTGGGGTTTTAGTTCATTCAGAAGGAGAGTTCGGAATCGTGGCCACTGCAGGGCTTGGGTGGCTCGCTCACCGGCCAGATAAACAGAAACTTCATGAGCTTGGAGCTCTGGGCTTCCTTCCATCCAGCTACATGCCGGCCATTCTCCAATGCAATGCTTAAACCCCAAAAAACCCGATGAGTCACTGGGAGTTCCAAAACTATGGGTTGACTGAGGTCCTTAGCTTATGGTTTTGCTTGGAGCAGCGTGAAGGCGGCAACGCTGCTTAGGCGTGTTTGCATCGCATGCAAGCCATTGCTTGCGATATGACGGTGACTAGGATGCGCATGACCTCTTTTCAGTAGCGTTGCCTAAAATCGAACTGGTCTTGGTATTTTTCCCTGCCTGATTTTCACTTCCTTCCCTCGAAGAAGAATCCCCATATTCCCGCTGTACTGCCAAAATACTGGTAGGAAATGTTTGGGTGGGTGCTTTGTCAGGAGGGGAGGGGATGATACATGCATCGCTGAGGTTCGCAGCCTGAACTCCACACTCGCTCCAGCTGCCAACGTCGGCGCGGTCACACCTGTCAGCAATTTGACTGGGTGGAAATCACGACATATATTGGATTCCTCAGGAGCAGGTCCCAAAGGACGTAGGATAAAACGGGCTTTAAAGGGCCCCTTTAAGGAATACATAGAGACAATTATGTTACACTCCCGTGCAGGGGTTCTGGTCGTTATGGGTGTGTTTGTGTCAGTGTCCTTTCTATGTGGTTGTTTTGTCGGTGTATGGCAGAATCTCACGCTGGTTGCGTGCCAACGCGCTGGGCTTGTCACTTGTTCCAGGCAAGGCCTGCCTTTTCGCGACGAGGCATTGCAAAAGAAGTGTCCGGCTAGCAACAAACCCCTGTGCCACAACGGTTTGGTACGAAGCATTCGCAACAAAGGTAGGCGTGCAACACAGGTTTGAGGCGCGTTTTCAAAGACCGCACCCATTTTGGGACACCGGGCCTAAGAAGTGAGCTGTTGCTGAAAGGCCGTGAACAGATTATGGGATATGATTGGGACGCCGTAGTGACTACATCACGGCTCCGATCTGATTGTTGATGGGGCGCATCAATGGTTCAAAGCCGGCATTGCAGCATAGCATGTTCAAGCTTTCTAGGGCTGTTCACGGCTGTTTTTCATTCCATGCTTTAAAACCCACGGGGCTACGGATCAAGGTGCTCTCAATGCCTACAGCGGCGGGCGCTGGAAGATCAAGGACTTGCAGTGAAATGCAGCTTCAAACTTCGTACTCTTCAGTTCTAGTGCATGTGTTATCAGTATGTCCCAGGTATCCTGTAAATGTGCTGCTGTGCGATGCTATGGATGAACAGTCTCGAAATTTGAGCCTCCGCCAGGCGCGTGTTGTGACGAAAGGCAACGTGCGGAAGTTCAACAACCAGCGTGGGGAAGGTCAACTGTTCAAGGCCCTGATGCCCCCAGAACTCCCGGAAAACCGCCAAGTCCAAGTAGGGTGACAAACTGGCTGCATTTCAGGTGGACCTCGCGGATAAGACAGGCGAGATTTCGGCAACATTTTTCGGCCGCGCGGTGGACAAGTACTATTCCCTGTTGAAGCCTGAGAAGGCCTGTGCTCTGGACGTGCTGGTGTTAAAAGACTGGAGAGCCTAGGCCCTGAACCATAATAGAACTCCAAGATAACCCTGGTAACTATATAACCCGTTATAGTAGATTCTAGTTTATCTTCCATTATCCGAATATAACCCCTATATAACCCCAATATAATCTCCCAATATGTGTAAAGAAAGCCCTGGTCTGCATCCCTGCAGTGGTTGTGGTGCTGCAGAGGAAGCCCATACTGATGCAGGAACGTAGGATGTTGTTGTTTTGTCTTGAATGGTCTTGCCAGCAGCCCCGAACCCAAAAATCCAAAACTCTAGAGCCAACCCCCCTCCACAAGAAAAAACAACATTCAGGGTTTGGGGTGCTGGAACAGACCGCCAAAGAGTCCCCCTGGCAAGGTGTACACTTTTCAAAAGGGCCAGATCAAGCCTGCAAACCGGCGCTTCTCAGCTCGACATCTGCCTGGTGATGCAACGTAAGGGGACCCCAATATAGACTCCCAAATACGGTAATAAATGGTATGGGGACCCCCAAAAAGTATTCCTAATAGTCGGGAACCCCCACAATCTTCTTTGTTGATTGCCATCTGGGTCGGTTCTTTGCCCCACTTCCCTTCTAGAATTAGCATTCTGGCTTGGGATGCGTTGGAGTGCAGGGTGTGTTTGGTCAAAAAAGGTGAAGATTGGGGAGGCCAATTGTGTCAACTTCTGCTGAGTAATCGTACTACCACGCCGTTTCATGTGGGATTCGGGGAGCCGGGGCGAGTCTCAATGCAAATCAGTCGAAACTCATGATCTTCTACATCACGAATTTATGCCTTCTCGCAGTTCTTTGACAACTCATGCTCTTTTCTAGTGGATCTTGCTTTCAGCCCATGGGATGCAGTGTTGCGAGTTTCCGCTCTTTAGCTGGGGGCAAGTGTCGGAACACACCACTCTCCACCTATCAAAACTCTACCTTAAGTGGCATGTCAGCAGCACAAAGCCATGGACGACACTTCACAGAAACAAAGCAAGGGCCCTCCATGTTTGGCGGCATGACCCAAGACAGTCTGTGCACGCGGACTAGCAGACGGCTGAAAATTCAACTCCACAAGGAAACTCAACAGTGGTATACTGCAGCAAGCACAAAGTATTTGGTGCGGGACTCGATAAACCAGGTCTCTCTGCGCAACAAATGCTGTACAGGGCATGCCGTATTCTGCAAAATGGCCATTTGGGGGGAATTCTTTAGATCAGCCATAAGATGCTACCACATGATAGGGACTTCATCCCGAAGACCGCGCTTTCTTTGTAATTAGTTTCTAACCACTGAACTGAACCCCACCTCCGTTCCCATGCAGGAGTGAGCTAGGCGCTATGCCATTCTGAACCCCAATCTCAACATGTGGTACGGTTTCCCTAAATAGGGGGACCTCAATATAGACCCCAGTATAATATACTCTAGTCCTTTGTAGGGACCCCCAAAACCCTAATCCCCATCTAACCCCAGCTTCCATTTCATTTTGGATGTTCTTCTCCGTCTCATTCTCCATTATTGAATTTGGGAAATCCACATGTCCTGCAATGCCTGGGAGAGCACTGGGGCCGCAAGGCTACGATCGCGGCGACCACGTCTTGGTCTTTGAAGAGTGGGGCCCGCAGCAGATCCTAGGGTTTCAGGTGGAGAGACCAAACCGCAACCTTCTTCGGGAAATTCTGACTTCAGAAACTTCTAAGCAGGTTTGGACATGAAGTGTCAAGGCCACGATGGGAAGCTTGATCCTTGTCTGTTGCCCATTGAGGCAGCTGAGTTGAATGCTGGGCTGTTATGCATTCACCGCAAGATGGAAAACGCTGTTGTAGACAAGCATGGCTCTTGACATTGCCATCTTGGCAGTTCCTCACAGGCTTTCTGTACCCCGGACAAAATGCATGGAAGCTTCCACCCATTTTTGAACCCTACCTCAGCAAGCGCTCAAGTGAAACTAAATGTTCGCAGGCCTAAGTGGGAGGGGAACACAGGCGGCTTTCAAAATTGTGTCCTTATTCTGGGAGGCTCATCCCCAAGATCTCAACCATTCGGGCAGTGATGGCTGGACTCCAAAATCGGGATCCATTCTGGAGAAAGTAATTGGTAAAAGTTGCAAACGCCTTAGGGTAACCCATACTTCGAAACAACAATCATACAATAATGACATTGGTGGCAATAGTAGTTGGAACAGTTAGCAGCAAAAATGATAACAAGAGCATGATTCCCGCCCAGCCTGTCTTTAAGCCCTCCAGCGAGGCATGCGCTTATCGAAGCTGTGGGCGAGGACGACGACATCCCGAAGATAAGCAACTTTCCTGAACTTAGGGTTTAGTTGCTCTGTAGGGCTTTAGGGCTTAGGATTCGGGATATACTGGTAGATAGCCTTTAGAGGGCTTATGATGGGCTACATAGGACATAGGGGTATTCATACAGAGGTATATTTGGTCTTGGGCTGGGTATGGAACTTTTACTATCTCATGGGGCCCTGCTGAGGTCTATGCAGCCACATGGCACAGTAGGGTGTTCTGCGATGAATTCCAGAATCTTGATTCATTTGGTACTTCCAAGGTCCCTCATAGGCCCCAAGCCTTTTACTACCGCATAATCCGAATCCTTATAAGGGAAATTCCAAAAGGGCCGCGTGTTTTTTGGGAATCCCCCTCTGACCACTTCTATTCAAAACCTGCTCGCACCCTGAACTGTTCTGAAACGAAAGCCCTTCAGCTTGAGTTGGCTGCAGGCTACGACTTCCGGGATCTCTCCCTGGTAGAAAGCCTGCAGCCGGAGACGCATATCGACGTAAAAGCCGCGGCTTGGCTGAACTTTTTGTTGGGCCCTAAGCCCTATAGTCCCCCTTAAGTAAATAGAATATGGGGTATATGGAGATATTATTGTAATATACCCATATTCTATCTACTTAAGGGGGGCTCTAAGCCCTGAGCCCTGAACCCGAAACCTGAACCTTGTAGATCTGGCAGTGTCTAGGCCCGCCATGCAGCTCAGCACTAAGGATTTTGATCTTTAATTCTTTGAGGTCAAGAGGTTGGTTGCTTGCAGCTATTAAGCTACAAAACAACCCTCAGCTCTGTGGTGTTTAAGGGGGGCGTGGGGGAATGAATATAGGGATTGTCGTAGGATGTTGCAGGTTCCACTCCGCCACTTTCCCTTAAGCACCAGGAGGGCAGCGCTGCATTAACAGTTGAGCTAAGCATTCAGCTTATCATTCACAACATTTAGAGAGGAAAGATATCTGGTTGGTGTGTGCGACCGAGCTTTGTCTTTGCCATTGCAGTGGTCAAGAAGCTGGCTTCCAATAGCCGTTTACCTGTGTCTCACAACGAACGTGTTAAATTCTAAGGCCATCCTCAAACAAGCTCTTTTACCTAAGGTGGTCTTCCAGATGCAGGACCCCTTCACCTTCACTGCCAAGACCTCAAACAAGGAGATGACAAAACGTGCAGCTTGCCTTAATGACAGCTCTGCTCCTAGTGTTCTACGTACATGTGTCCGGATCCATGGTTGACAAGAAGCTACAATATAAGAACTAAATAGGCGGCAAATTCACCAAATGCGTGCAAACTTGGCATCTGATGCTTACGCAAAGGGGGAGTTTGGGTACCAGGGCTGGCTTACTTGCATGGTTCACTCAGACCGGAATGGTAGGCTAACCGCTGAAGTCTGAAACTACCCAGGCCCTCAAGCCCATGACACCTAAGCCGTTCACTTGGTGGCGAGAACCCTCTTGAGGTGATTCATCTCTGGGACAATTCTGGAGACCCCAGTACTGGTAGCACGTGCGAGCTCACGCAGCTTGGCCAAGACTCCGAAATGGGGGTTTCCCAAAATTAGGGGTACCTTTTTTGGGGTCCCCATAATAAGGACTATAACATATTGGGGTCTATATTGGGGTCCCCTTATTTTGGGAAACTACCAACTAGCAGTAGCATAAGTGCTACTGCTACTTTGCGATTACAGCTGCCTGTTGCATGAGGCTTTGGGGAGAGACGGCCCTGAGTTCGGAGTTCGAAGTGAACCAGGCCGTTGCCCTGTAAGTTTCGTGTGCAGGGATCCCAGTGGCCGGACTTTCTCATCAATACTTTCCCAATCCTCACTACACTTGCCCAAGAAAAGTTCTAACCAGATGTCACCTTTGCTATACCCAATGCCTGCTATAGGGCACCGTGGGGTCTGGGAAGTAGCCAGCCTGTCCAGGTGATTTTCTTGAAGAAGGCCCGCGTGTCGGAGTTCAATGGCCAGAAGAGTCTGAGCAGCCCTGCAGGAATGCAGCACCGCCGCTCAGCATGGTTTGGTAGTACGGTACGCGTGCCGAAGAGGTAGTTTCTTTTCTGTGGTCATTATGCTAGGACCGTGTAAGGGCTGCCTACTTTTGAAACGCGCCCGCCTGCTTGCGGAGTGAGATGTCTTGAAATTCTGGCAGGGAGGCACCAGTGCTTTTGTCACGGGAGCGAGTGACATGTTCAAGTGTAAGCATCAATGCTGTTGCGGATACTGTCTCACTCTTGTTTCTGTAGCCCCGCTTCCAATAGAGTGGAGAGAGTCATGGTTACTTGCCTGCTGCAACACTCGGATGGATCCTAGAGCCTGGACAGCTTTCACTCGTCCCTCGTACTTGTTTAGGCTACTGTTCCCCTGCCCCCGCAAAACCCCGTGCAGCTTATTCAAACGCCTTTAAAACCCTAGCCCTGCGGCCGAGCCTGACGCCCATGACCTAAGATCCGGACACCCCGCAAGCCTTCGCCTTGATGCGTGCGTATACGCAGCTGCAGCAGACGAACCCTTATGCGCTGCAGCTCCTCAGCTTGAAATTATCGAGAGGCAGTCTTTTTAAAACATGTGATCTACGGGACCTTGAGAAATGCGACGGCAATACAAGACCCGTTGAAAGGTTTGATTCCTTGTTTATTTTAGGACGCTTTGAGGTTGAGGGATTGAGGTTGGGTGTATCTCCAACTTTGGCGCCCTTGCTGGGGACTGCAGAATGCCTTGTTTCTCGGCTAAGCACCACGGCGTGAATCTCTTGATGCCAGTTGTGGCTGCATGCCTTGTTAGTTCTGTGTCTTTTCCGGGGTTTAAAGCTTGTAACTCTTATAAACTCTTCCTCAATCAGCTCTCAAAATGGTCCTTGGATTGAGGTTGCGGACCAACTTTAGCAGTTCTACTGCAAAGCGCCAGACAATCGAAGAACTGCGCCAGGTGCCTTATCATGAGTGTGAAGTTGGAGGTTCATGGACAGCCTGACTGGGGCTGTAAGTGTCCCTGACAAAGTAAGTTCTAGAAAGGCGAAGTAGTCAATGTCGCCAAAAGCGGTGGACGCGGAGATGTCTTATTCATGACTCCTCCGATCTACCCATGAACCTCCAAGTATGAGGTGGCAAGTGGAGCACCCGCAGCTGTTGAAGGGGGGGGTTGCAGGGGGACCCCAAGTTGGGGCTAGGGTTTGTGGTTTGGACGCATGGACATGTTGGATGAAAGGAGGTTGCACAGGGTTGTCTGGCACCACAGATGTGTTGGGCTTTCCACGGCAGATCATGCAGCTAATATGAAAGTATAGCTGCTGTTATGCCTGGCTGTTCCTTGCGATTCTGTGCTGGCAATACGTACGGAGCGCCCCTTCTGTTGCTCAATGTCGAAAGAGCAGCATGCAAAGCACGTACGCGCTGTATCAATGCCTTGCACCGATGTCAGTGTCTGACAGCGTCTGACAGGAAGACATCAACTTGGGCCCTCCTCCACAGCCGTTCCAGCCACTCGTCCCTGGTGAAGCAAAGAGTGGCTCAACTGCAGAAGCTGGTCGGAGAACAGAAATTCCTTGAAGCCTTTTTACCTGGTGGAGGTTGAGGCGGCCATTGAAATCTGATGTGGGCTTTTTCAGTTTCCTCCTACTTGACAGTTCCTCTTCCTTGGAAAAGTACCCCTGTATAGGAACATGTTGCAAGCCCGTCCAGGCACCCTGCCATCCTAGCATAGCGCAAGTTGCGAAATGGGAAAGCAGGAGTTGAAGTATGTGTGGTCCCATCAGGTGTCCATCGACACTGGGTCATGGCGACCTTCACCAACCTGCCGATGCTGGCTCATTGTTGCTGGAGATTTTTCTCGGATTTTGGAGGTAACAGAACCATTCAGCCCCAGAGTAAATTAGGTTAAGCTACACGACCGTAAGACATATAGGGTTGTTAAGGATGACCGACCAAACGGAAACGTTGTTGCAAATACATACCTCTGGTGCATCTACATCGCCCCGCATATCACTGAGTATTTTCGACCACTACATGAAATTCGCATGCCTAACCCTGGATCGACCTAGTTCGAATAAGCTCTAGACCTTGAAAGCTACACCTGAGAGAACCTACAGCCACTACAACTCAGAAGAGACCTAACGTGATCCCCAAGCGTTGCCCATTTTTGAGAGTTTCAAAATGACCCAGGACGGACCGGCCACCGTATTACACCGCCTGTCCCTTCAGCAGCTTTTAACAGAGTTCTCAGTTATATGACCTAACTACGATCTCAACAGATCTTCCCCAAAGGTTTAGGGTCTAGGGCCTACTAGGGTTTAGGGTTAAGGGTTTGGGGATTACAGGGTTTAGGGGGTTTAGGGGGTTTAGTGTAAGGTCCTAACCACAGGCCCGTACGTATTTTGGGCCCTTTTCTTTTTTTCTGGGTCCGAACAATGGGCCCCTAATTGGGTCTATAGATGTCTACGGGTTTCTGTAGGGTGTATAGTAGGCATGTAAATCTAAATCTCCTAGGATCAAGATTGGGGCCTAGGTCCGCAGATTTAAGAGGTAGGGGCTTTGGTGCCTGGCAGATCAGGGAGCTTTTGGGTTGAGATTTTGAAATGTGAAGTCCACGAGCCAATCCCTTGAAAGCACCAGGTCCAAATGCGAGTCGCCAGTTGTTTCTTCTTCTCATGGCCCGTTTTCCTCATCAAAGTTTCCAAGCCCTACACCTGAACTCCTTGAACTCCAAGTCCGTGGTATGTGAGCTACCAGGGGATTACCAACTGTGGACACAGGGGTCCTTTTGGTAGTTTGGAATACTCCTTACTATTTTTCTTGGTATGAACCCATGCATGTTAACTAGATGGAAATTATGAATCCCTATAATCCCCTGTAGAATCCCAGTTTCCATCTGATTTTCCATTTTCTTTTCTTCCATTTGGTTTTCCAGTATTTGGGCACATCCCTAAACCCTAAACCCCGACTGTAGCTCATATAGGTCCGGAGAAGACGGAAGCGACACAGCCTCCCACCTCAACCAGCCAGCAACCCGCAATGAGGCCATGGTTTCCAGTCTGGGGATTAGGGTTTCGCACTCTGTCGTCGTGAAAGCTGAAGCCGCCCTACTAACTTCACAAATTTGTCTCTCACCTGCACAAGCAGTAGGCATGGGCGTACAGGTTTCCGTCCGTCTGCTTTGGGGTTGCATGCTAAGGTTTTGTGCAGACAGCTAGACGCGTCCACAAGCGGCAGGGCTTCATACAATCTCAGTCTGTTCGTGGGGCTGGCTTCCACGTGCATGGAACATGTCATCAGGACCATCGCATTAGGAGAATGCTGCTGGTCATGGCTATGGTGGTGGTGGCGGTGGTGGTGGCGGTGGCGGCGGTGGCGGTGGCGGTGGCAGTGGCGGTGGCAGTGGCGGTGGCAGTGGCGGTGGCGGTACGTGGTGTGTAGTAGTTGCTGCCGTCGTGTGTTGCATGCCTCTGTTTTGTTGCGGATGCGAGGTTGTACTTCTGACCGGCTCTTGGTAGACAGGCTTAAGCATGCGCACTATGCAGAAGTTCTAGGCTGCTGGAGTTAACATACTGCTCGTACAGAAGATTCATCCCGTCCGCGGCGGACAGGCCTTGCAACAAGAAAGTGGCCCTGGAGTCTGACGGGTGCTGGACGTGTGTTGCTGGCCATAAATCACAGCAGCCAGATTTCCGGCAGCTGAGCTTGTATAGGACCCTCTAGGAATGAAGCGGCGATAACGCAGGGATATCAAGGAGGATTGCGACGGAATTGCAATTTTCATGCAATGCAGGGATTGGTTTAACCGGTGCGAGATGAGTTTCTCAAGATTACCAGGTTAGCTGTCATGATTGTGCCTTCGTCTTAGTACCATTTTTAGTGTTGTCACCTGTTCCTAATTGCAAAAATCTGTTTGTTTTGATCTCGGGGCTTTAGTTGTTGTTCTTTGTTTGGCTACTACCCTAATTGCTGCTATGACCATTTTTCTTCAGCTGCAGGTACATGTGCCGGATCACCATCTTGGACCACACAGACAAGTGTGAGGCCAGGGATCATAACCGATGTGTCTGTCAAAAAAGTCCGGGATGCCCAGGGCAGAAGGGGTCCTTATACTCTAGCAAGCCAGCTACTAGTGCCATTGGATACCTGCGGCTTTCTGAAGTCAGGGAGACCAGACCATACGTGGCCCACATGGCCCTCTCAATTCCATGACACCATATATATATATACATATATCGCCTGATGCGGCTCAACTCTGGCAGGTGAACCTCTATGATGAAACAATGTCAAAGGTGCTGCAGTGTCCGGCCAAGGACCCCCGACAGGGATTCGCAATGACCAGAACAGCACTACTGAGCCAGTCGGTATCCCGCTGGGTACTTGCAGGTGTGGATAGCATTTGCAGAAACAAGAAACAAGAGCTTCTAGCGCAGGACTATGCCCCGATCTATGACGGAGGCACGAACAGCGGCGACATGCTAGCTGAAATGCGCAAGCTGAATTCGCGGATGGAGTGGAGGACTCGGATGATGCAAGTCTGTCCCCTTGCTTTTTTCCCGATCCCTGCTCAGAAACCAAATCCAACCAAGTGCTTCGTTGACTTGTTGACCACATGCGGGGAGCTCAAACGACATTTCTATTGATCTGGGCTTGCAGGGGCTTGGAACTGCAACTTCATTTCTCCATGCTGCAAATTGACTCTGGCAGGAAGTGCTTATTCCGACTCCGTGCGCAGAAGGAGGTTTGGAATGACAACGAACGTGTCAGGCTGCGGGGATGGGAACAGTTCGCGGATGTTCGCGGTTTGTGACGCTTTACTTTAACGACTCGTCGCACAAGCTTAGTGGAAGCTTCTCTCAGACCTTCAACTGCATCTGGGGGGGTGGTTAGGGTTTCAAGATGTCACCTGTGTGTCTGTCACATGGAGGTATTCCGTGGATGATGTCCAGCCTGTCAACCTGGTGCAGGATGCTAAGCAGATGTTTGCAGAGGTACAAGACTCATTAGGTGCCATGGCTTAGGCGTTGGTGGCAGAGCATTTAGCAGCGGCGCGAATCCTTACCATACGACAGCCTACCATTCGCGCAATCCCTTGTTCGAAGTTGCTGTTAGTCTCTCTGAATGCCACCCTCCGGTAGCTGTCCATCTGTTTGGACTTCGCTTTGGGCGCGCTCTGCGGGCAAACTGCAAGGGTGCTTCTTTCTGGATCCTCGATGTAAATCGGGGATGCCAGAGTTGACGCTGAGCACCTGTGGGCGCGCCTGCCCTGTTCACGGTATTTCAGCCAGGAACAGTACGCCTTGGCCTGTAGCACACGAAGCCGCTCAGAAGTGAAGACACGGCAGATACTTAGGGTAAAACACGTGATTCACCGAAGCAGAAACAAGTCAACGACTGGTTGCCGCATTAAAGATAAAGTGCCCTTTCCCAGACATGAAGTGCGGCATGAGCAGCAGAAGTTTGACTTCTCGTGGTGATGGCAATGCAGCAGGGGTGACGCTGCAGAATGCCAAGTTTTCAGCCCAGTGCAGCGGTTGCACTGGAACTCGTAGGTTGGGGACCTGCCATCTGAAGAACCCTAACATTCGAGGGCGATCAAATACTACTGAAGAATGCAGCCTTTCACGACGAATGTCCAGACTTCAACATGAAATGGCAGCTCCTAGCAGGTGTCTGTGGATTTAAAGGCCTTGTCGATGAGAAGTGCTCATCCGTCACAGCGAGCTTGCTTGGGCCTTCCATGCCGCTTAGCAGGGGGACGCCAGCCAGAGGCGTAGCCAGAAACGTCAATTCAGACGTGCAGGCCTACACTGATTCCATCGTGGGCTTGTGCAGAGTTGCGGCATATGTGCAAAGATGCTGCCTCTAGGGCTCCACAGGAGGAGAAAGTCACCCCCATCGAAACAGCCAACTAAACCACACAATAATCGCAGAATTTCTGCTTCTGGGAGCGGGCAGGACTCTTACGCGAACTGCGTAGGGGCGCGGCGCTCAGCCAGAAAAGTCGCGCGCATCAGTTCGGGACGCAGCAACTGAGCTCATGCTTTGGGTGGGAAACCTTGAGCACAAGTCTATGAATGTTTCTTGCATCACTGATATCCAGGGCCCCGGAGACATGGTGTTGTCGGACATCACCAACACAGACGCTTCCCTGCTGAGCAGGCACAGAGCTTGTGCGTTGAATGGGTCTGACTATGATGCATTAGACGTCATACGGCAGAGTAGCAATTGAATACCCAGATTGCATTGGGTATTGCGCAAAGCCCGTGTTGGAAGCTTGGATTGAAGCCAACGATTCTTGGCAAACCAACAAAGATTCTCGGCCGCTGAAAATTTTGAAAGGGGATTGGCGCAGAGAGTTTGGAATGGGTTCAAAGCACAGGCGAGGAGGGATTTATTTGCCTGGAAACAGTGCTGGTCCCCTGCATTCGGCCCCTGACAACACATGGGATGCGTAGGTCCCAAAGAGTTTTTCATGCATACAGAAAAGCAATTGTGGCAAACTCCTACATGCTGAGGGGAGCCTGTTTTGGTTGAAGGAAGCCTGGCGATGTGCAATCCTCCAAGGAGCTTCCAGTGAAAGCCTCAATTCAGTAGCCGTGCTTTGCGTCTCGTTCGTTACTGGGGACTTCCCTGTGCAGCCTATGGCTTATGGTTTGGGTCCAGCATTTGGGATTTTGGATACCGGTGCTTAGCTTTGGCAAGCAGCCCCTGAGAGCACACAGCAGCTGAGAACGCTGTCCAGCTCAGGCCCAATAAGACTACGTGGGGAGTGGCCCGGTAACTCAAAGCTTTCCCTGCCCAATTTTCTGCATTTTTCAATCTTACGGTCTATCCACTTGACATCCTGAATTGTCAGGGATCCGCTCCACGATTTCTGTTCCACAAAAACCACTTTTGCTGTCGGGGGACCTTTGGCTACTGCTATTTGCTTTTCCTTGTGCCATGCAAGTGGCAAAAACGGCTCTGAGGTTTGAATTTGAAATATCTCTTATCGCCCTAAAGCTTCATGAGGAGAATGCACTTAAAGTCTCGAAGAACATCCTGAAGCAGCCGGTAAACGGTAGTCTCCTGCATAGTATATGTATATATATATATAAATTCTTTCTAGTTTAACCCTAAGAAGGTTTTAACAGGACAAGATCGTTGTTATAGGTCAAGGGGAGTACAGTAAACTTTCTGGTTCTTAGTAGGGAGAAGGGAATATACTCCTCGTATAATCGCTACATAATATTTTCCTTTCTTCCCTACTAAGAACCAGCACGTATAACATCCCAGTATAATCCCCAATATACTACAGTAGTTTCAATTTTCTTTTATTACCTATATATATGTGCATATTTAAGTACATATCACCAATATAGTCTTAAGCCCTAAACCCTAAACTCCTAAATCCTAGATCCTAAACCTAAACCCTACGCCCTAACTCCTAAACCCTAAGCTCCTAAACCCTAAGCCCTAAGCTCCTAAACCCTAAACCCTAAGCCTTAAGTCCTAAACCCTAAGCTCCTAAACCCTAGGCCCTAACTCCTAAATCCTAAGCCCTAAACCCTTAAGGAGTAAAAGCGGATCCTACGAATGAGGTGAGCCTGGCCAAGAACTTGCACTCCCGGGCTTTGGAGCAGGAGTGGCCTTGTCGCAGTTGGGATGTAATACATATAAGGGATTATAGGGAATATATTGGGGTTATTTAGGGATAATGGAAAAGAAAATGGAAACCATTATAATGAGTTTTACAGGGGTTATATAGGGTTTAATATAGGGTTATATGGGAGGTTTTCAAAATTATGGTCCTTTTTGGGTACCCTTAATATTAGGTGCCGTATTATCACAGGGATCCAAAAAGGGTTTGACAACCACCCATATATATATATATACATATACATGCTTTCTCCAAAAGTAGGGGTAGTTTTTAGGGGTCCCCATAAGAAGGACTAGAGCATGTTGGGGTCTATGTTGGGTTGTATATGGGGGTTTCCCTAAACGAGGGTTACCCTCACAGCAGTTATAGATGGATGTACAGGGTTTAAGGATTCGGTTTGCTTAGGGTTGGAGGTTTCCCCCCATTAGGGGTAGTGTGGGTGCTTTTGTGGGGGTCCCCATATTAAGGATTATAGTATTTTGGGGTCTCTTTAGTTTGGACTACCATAAAGGTACTCAAAAGACACCATAGTAACCCATATATACTGAGGATATAGGGCTCAGGTTTGCGCATATGGGGCTCATTAAAAAGGGGTATAAGGAATATGGTATTTGGGGGCTCTATCTCAGGAAACTACCATGTAAGTAGGGAGACTCTAAGACCCCAAGCTAGAGCAAGATTAAACCTTCCGGTTGGCAGCTGGCTTTTAAAAGGAGAACGTGATCTTGCTGAGCTCAACCTCCCAATAACGCAATCCCAAATAGGCTTCATAGGACTTTTCTGGGACAGGAGCAGAGGGATGATTCTTGGAAGCTCTAGGGAGGTTTCGATTGCCTGGTTTTAATTTTACTTGAGAAGGTCTTGAAGGTTGTTGGCCAAGCCTCTAGCTCTGGAGGTATGCGTGCCCGTAGGCACATTACGAATCTTCAGCTGAATCGAAGAGGTGATTATCTTTACCAATTCCGCTGAACTTTGGTAGCAGCTTGCTGCAGAGCATCAATGATGAATGAGAGTTACTCCTGTCATTTTGAATGGTAGTGATGCTGGCAGAAAAAGGCGCTAGAAGCACCAACAATACAACAGCAATCATATGAAGCCGTGAGCAGTGACGTGAACTGCTCGCCAAGGAACATCCTCCTGCGGCAGGAGGTGGAGCAGCTCCGGGCGCAGAATGTGGCCGGCGAGGGGTTGGAGTTTTGCAGGAGTGTCTTCCCTTCTCATCGGCCAGTCTATTTGCAGTCTCCCTGGGAACTGTTGTTTGATTTTGATTATAGTGCAACCCCAGAGAATTATTATAAGTCTACGGGGACTACAGCTATACCCAAGTAAGAGTTTCATCTGGGCTCGGGCTTGGCTGAGATACCGCAACTTTGTTATTGTCAGCTGCTTTTGCGACAAGTACTCATCCTCGCAACAGGGACTCTATGCGGATCACAGAGGAATACTTATGTTGGGGTGATATGACGGTTATATAGGGATTATATGTTGCCACTCAGTGTTGACCTAATCTTTGCATGGCAGGACGCGCTTAAGCCATGGTACATACTGCCAAGACCCCAAGCTCTACTCTTTCAGCGCGTGGCAGCATTTGTACTATGGACCGTAGTTCACGCCTACTACAGGTGTGTACTGCAGGTGGGTGGGATGGGTAGCTCGCTGGTGGGTCGTCTCAACGGTACTTCTACGGGAAGGGATCACGTGAGCTACGGACTAAATTTAGGTTGGGGGACCTATAGGGGACTATATAGGGTTTCTTGGGGGGGGGACCTATTAAGGGACATACTACAAGTGTAGTCCAGGGCTCATGTGGGCCAACAGCAGTTTTCTGCTGTATAACCCCCAATATAATACATATCCCTATATATATATATTACTATATATAGGGATTATATTATGTTGGGGGTATATATATATATATATCTCCCCCCAATATAACCCCTACATATATATATATATATCTCTCTCTCTCTCTCTCTCTCTCTCTCTTCTCTCTCTCTCTCTCATTATAGCTTCTGTGAGGCACTGGTGTCCAGCTCCGAGCCGCGCACGCCTCGAAGGGCCCTCAGGAAGGGCAGGTGGCCATCAGCTTCCAAAAGATGTGAGCTTTTGTCTAAACTGCTTAAAGGGGGTAATGTAGGGGGCTATATAGGGGAGAATTATAGGGGTTAAGGGGATACTAGGAGTTTGGACTACAGCTCATGTGAGATACAGATATCTTCCCCACCTTGGACCACCCTCTCCGACTCCATCCTTAACGTTCCTTCACAGAAGCAGTTTCCATGCGTCAAGCGCGGGGTCACACTGTGCGTGGTTCCCAGGATGACGTACCTTTTCAACTACTGGCTGAGGTCATGTTGAAGAGGCTACTTGGAGGGTCAGGGTGGCTTAGTAAGTAGGATAGACAATCCCCATAATCCATATAGTAAACCAAATTCTCCGAATTATTTACCCATTTGCAAGGACTCACTGACTTTCCAAGTAGGGACCAGAAAGCTGGGCCCCAAATCTGGAGACTCCATTGTTGAGGTCGCACTCCTACAACACCGAGCACGCCGCGGGCGGCAAGGAGTCCCTACACACCGCAGACACCCAAGGCTCAGGGATATGCCACTCTCTACATAAGCATGGTGGAGCCAATGAAGGTGACATACACGAAGTGCTGTCCTTCAATGGTGGGTGCTTTGGGGTGTGATGGCTTCCTTCCAGCTAAGCTAGCGGGCTACAATTTTCTTCTTTAGCGGTAATGAGTCATGGCCTCTCCTTGTAAGAGTGCATTTGATGATCTTTCTTCATATTTCCCTTCGCGAAGTGGACGTCTATGTTAGCAATCACTGCTGACATGCTTGGTGGGCCAGACCGGAGCACGTACACCGGCGCGCTCAGCACCCAGCACGCCGCGGACCCCGCTCCGCTCTCGTCAGGCATCTCGACCTGAAAAGCAAAAAAGCCCAGTGTTCTAGGAACCCATGCTCATTTCAAGCGCATCGTAGACACAAGATGGCACAGCGCTGCTATCCTAAGGAGCAGGCAGATGTCGTAACCCCGAAACGGGCACCAACGCGGCGACACTTGACCGCAGAAGGGCCTGTGGGATGAGATCCACAAAAGCATAAATGACAGTTGCAGTTGGCCAAGGGCCGTTCGAGCCGAAAACGCAGCAGCCCGTGCCGGAGTCTTGGCTTGGCGAGTGTGTTTGTCTGGACACTGCACGAGATCTTGCAGCTTGTTGACTTGAACCGCTTGAAACATTCTAGCCTTAGGCTTGTCAGAAGCCCAGCGTGGCACACCATCATGGTTACGTTGCTTTGATGCCAAACCAGACACTGACATGCGCAATGAAACGCATCTCTTAGAGCTACCCAACATGGATGCCGTATGACGGACGTTGACGCATTTGGCTCACCAGTTTTTGTCGTTTGAGCAGTGTGTAGGGCCACAGGCTGCTCGGCCAGAACCAGGCACAATGATGGAGCTGGCAATTGTGCTGCTTGCAGTTCTCCCCGGAGTCATGGGTGAGGAGCCCCTGCTCAAGTAGGAATACATGGCAAGAGCCCAGAGGTTGGAAAAACCAATTGTTGGTCATTTTTTTCGGGGCAGCACTTCGATGGTCGTTGCGATTTCACACCCCCAACAACTACGAGCTATTCGGGACGTTGATTTGCCTTGGAATTGACGTTTTTTGCACGGCAACCTTAGCACCGTTGCAGGAGACCCCAAGTTCCTCTGCCACATCCTTGCGTGGCGCAACCTCATCGAGGGAGCCACCTGGTCCTTGGAAGATAGCCCGGTTTGAGGCTTAGCCTCATCGCAGCCAAGAGCCGAGTAGATACCCGAACTAACTTCACTCCAGTTGACATTCCATCTAATCCCCAGTAATACAGTAGCTTCCATTTTCCTTTTCCGTTCCCCAAATCCTATGACACTTCGTGTGTACATATATGAACTTTTGGTATCCAGACCATAAACACAATATCCCCAGTTGCCTAAACCCTAAACAGCGCAGTAATTATCATTTCATTTTCCTTTGTCTTTTCCCTTTGATTCTCCAACTATATACCCCAATAACCCCAATATAGTCCTAGATACCCCTTTATAGCTCTATATATCCATATATCATGCCCCGAGAAATTCCTAAACCTTAAACCCCAAATCCAGTTCAGCTTAGGCTGCAGACCCAGCCCGGAGAGGCTGGCTTGGGGTCTCAGAGAGTTTGTCATATATATATATACACATCGAAATAAGGGTATGTACGGATTACATAGGATGAAAAAGGGAGTCTAGGGATAGCTAGGAAAATTACTCCAAATAATGGAGAACGACATGGAAAAGCATATGGAAATCAAATAGACAAGAACCTGGAAAATGAAATGGACACGGTGGGTATATAGGGCTTTATCGGAGAAAAAGCGGGTAGCAGAAATTCCCTCAATCTTCAGGTTCCGGCCTTCGTCAGAGATTCCAATGAGCTTGTAGCTCCGCGGTGTTTGCCTGGATACATCGATACCACAGAGGGAAAGGCCTTCTACTGGTCGTGCGCTTTCCACTGCGATGGTGGACAGTATTATGCCTCTGCCGGCTGCATGTGCGCATGCCTCACGCCTGAGCAAATCGAGCGCCTTGGCAGCCAGAGCTTTGAGGCCTCCACTGCACCAGGTGGGATGAAGCAATCTGGTGGGATCTTGATCACGCCTTCCACTGTGGCTCCACCCCCCGGAGGCGACCCTGTCTTGGAGATTCCGGTGGGGGCCTTGGGTGAGGACAGGAAACCTGCACCCCCGACAGTTGACAGTTACGTCGCTCCGGAGCATGAAGCCCCGGCCTTTCAACCTTCAGAAGCGGCTGACGAGGAGAGCGGCTTGAGCTTGGTGGTGATCGCTTTCATAGGGGGCACTCTCCTTGTCATCGCTGCCACTACCACGCTGGTGTGCGCCCTTTGGTCCAGCTATTCTGACAACAAGCGCCGGGGTAGGGTAAAGTTTGTGGTGGAGGCACCAAGGTTTAGCCCCCATGTACCAGTAGAGAAGTGCCCGCAGCCGCCTGTGGCTTTTCAGCCACCGGCAGCCCCGATGAAATTGGCCGTCAGCTTGCAAGAGCCTGCAATACGTGTTTCTTGGACCTCCAGCAATGCCTCGAGTAATTCCAGGATGCAGGTTCCACGGGCTGCGCAGCAACATCTGCAACTTCCCGATGGCGACCGCGCGCTGAAGGGAAGTCCAAGCCTAAGCAAAGGCAGCCGGGGCAGCCAGGCCAGCACTTGCAGTGGTGGCGCCAGCGGCACCAGCAGCATGTCCAGCAATTCTGCCTGGGCTGTGAAGAGGGAGCCCCAAAGCGAACGGCCGAAACTAGGTAGCAAGGGTGGCTTCGGCAACCTGAAGCCATCACGAGTTTATCCAGGCTCAGAGCAGGTGTTTGCATGATAGCTTGCCTGTGGCCCAGGCAACTCTATTTTCCTTGACTGCTTCCCATGTATAGCAAGCTCTCTTCGACGTGGAAGGCTTGGAGACAAACCTTTTTAGAGCCTCATGTGCAACAGCAATCGCTAGTCCGCTAGGCTTTGAAGTTTGATTCCAGACTCCATGCTCATGATCGGCAGAGCTTTCCTTTCACAGTTTTGTGCTCGCTGAGCATGGAGCGATTGCAGCTCGTCAGTCACTGATGCAGCGCCGCTTTTCCAGGTCAGCGAACAATTCATAAGCTGAATTTGCGAGATGCAGGCAGCAAGAGCAGGCTCCATACCAGTGCAAATACGTATCTTGATCCATCTGGAGTTGGGTGCCTGGTCGGCAGCAGTTTTCATTCTCCAAGCAGCTGGGCGGATTGCCATATGCCGGCCGAGAGGAAAGATTTGCCTCAAGGTTTTGGCTGACTGTCGCAAAAAGAGGCAAAAGAAGATAGATGACCGTGACAAGGCATCACCGGCACCATTTGACCTTTCTGTGGCATGTCTTCGGCAAAGCCCCCCCGCCCAAATGTGTGACGTCAACGCGGTCCGAGTCAGTTGACTGGACCAAGGACTGCATGCTGCAGTACCATTTTTGAGAAGCCCTGGGAGCATTTGGCCGAGGGCTTTGCGTGGGATCAGATCTCATGGCGCCGAGGCTCAGGTGTGTGAGCTTGGAATTCTCATGATGTCTCTGCCCCTTCACATCTGAGCCAGGCAGAACCTTTGTTTGGGAACCCCCGTCTGGGAGCCTTCAGTTCACAAGAGGGAGTGCCAAGGTTGCTCCAGGCCAGGTCACCTTTGCCGCCTTCCAAACAAAAGCGATTAACCAAGATCGCGCCATTCATCATTGTTCTTCATGAAGCCATGCCTCTTATCTTGTAGCGAATGTGTTTTCAGAATGATGCGTCGCCAGTAATTGTGCGAGTATCGTCATTATATAGTTACATTCAGCTTCTTTGCATCATGGCAAACCGTCTCGCTAGCCACTTCACAGTGGTACAGTACAGTTGAAGAGGATAACCACGTGATTCCCACACAGCTAGCCTTGCAAACTTTCGCAACAGCTATCGGATTGAAGCATGCTAAGAAACGCTTCATTGCATCCGTTGGCACGAAGACGTCCCCCCCAACCATGTAGAGCTATAATCTGAACTCCTAGTATCCCCCTTAATAACCCTTATAAAACTCCCTTATATAACCACCTTTAAAAAGTTTAGACTATGGCTCATACAGAGCTGGTGTTTGGAAGGTTCTTCTAAAGGGCCTGCTGTTGAGCAGCCAATCCCGCTGCCATCTGCGCACTTGTGACAAAAGCGAAGGCTGCCGTAAAAAGGAGAAAGGAGCTGTGGTTATACTGGTGACATATTTGGGCTACATAGAGGTTATATTTGGGTTATTTTGGGTTTATGTAAGGGTTATATTGGGTTTATCTAGGGGTTATACTTGGGTTATACTGGGGTTATATTGGGGTTATATTGGGTTTATATAGGAGTTATGTAGGGGTTTTATTGGGTTGTGCTGATGTGTGGAGAAGCCGTCTACGCCAGGTTCTGATGCGTAGAAGCCCTTGGCCAAAGCTGAGACAGCTGGGAAGCCCCGAGGCCAGCACCCGCGCCAACGACCACGACGAAGGCCATGTGATGCCTCTAATCCTTTATAGGGCTATACAGGGGATTATAGGGATTATATAGGGACTATATAGGGATTACATAGGGTTTAGGGTTTAGGGTCCAAACTCCTTCGAGGGGGTTATGTAGGGGATCATTTAGGGATAATGGAAAAATGTAAGCTACTATTTAGGGTCTAGGGTCTAACTCTTTAAAGGGGATTGTATAGGCGGTTATATAGGGGACTACTATAGGGGTTATTGAGGGGGATACTAGGAGTTGAGACTATGGTTCATGTGATGGACCCCATTGACACTTCAGTAGTTTGCTTCTTTCCACAGTCCCCACCATTGCAATGGACATTCACAGACACGATCCGGAGAGCCAGATGTTCTCTAAAATGACTGTGGCAATCATCACTCCATCCCTTACTATGGGGACTCGAACCCTTTGGAGAATTAGCAGTTGCTAGCATTGCAATTGATTTTTCTAGCATGGGCCAGCGGATGTCCATTACACGCTTCGGCATCACCATGGATTCACAAAATTGCACGGGCCAGGAATTGACCATCAACATCAGCAGAAAAGGTGTCCTGAGACAATGTCACGTTGACTGCTACAAGTGGCCTTCCAGCCCAAAGCCTACGGTCTAAACCATACATATCCCTGTATAACCGCTATAGAACCTTTGTATAACCCTTATAGAGCCCCTATATATCCCTATAGAACCCCTACAAACCCTTTTCAACAACCTAGGCTCAAGGCCACATCTCTGAATGCTTGGTATTTTGTCAATCATTCGGCAAAGCGTTCCTTTGGTTCTCTGCTTCCTGCCCGTCAGGGTTTAGGGTTTTGGGTTGCCGGAACAGATGGCTTGCGGGCAACATCTTTAGAGCCCCCGCCCAAAAAAAGGGTGACTGCCCAGGCAGGATGTGGCAGCGAGCTTAGCTGATCTCATGTGGTAGATTCCATGAGTGCGGCGGATCCAAAACAGACCCCCCACATATCTTACACTTGTTCTGGGAAGCCCCAGAAAGGACCACTAATTTTTGGGAGCCCCCATACAGGTTTAGAGTTCAGAATTTGCAGCAGTAGAACTGGTTGCCCCAACGTATACCCCAATCTGCTGTCATCCCGACTACCGGTCCTCAGCCCGATCTTTTTGTGCAACGCTTATGTTGATGTTTTGGGGTGGGATGGCCAAAGCTACGCCGGGTTCAGCTTTTTCCGTAAAACAACCCTCACCTCCGTAATTAAACACCCAGCATGTGATTCACAAGAAGTTATGCGACAATTGAGGGTGGAGGCATGATGACTGCACAGCTGTACAGCGTTTGGTGCTGAGTACGGATCCTTGGCTTTCAGGATGTCTCCTGCTCGCTGCATTGTTCTGGCTGCAAAGCTGTGGGCACTGCCGAAGCAATGTCGTCCACAACACCCATGGGATTTAGCTTGATGCTCAGGCATGACTTCAGGGTTCCACACGCCAGCATAAAGTAAGCTGCTGTAGCTGCATCACACCTCAGCCCACCTTTGCAATAGTCAATAAAGCCAAGATATAAAAGCGAGGCTCTCGGCTCGTGAGGGCCCATTAGGCAGTAGTTTCCCTGCTAAAGCATCGATCCTTGAACTCAGGAAGCAGCAGCGGCCCTAGAGCACAAGCCCTTATGGTGGGGACTGAAAAGCTGTGGTCAGATCTAACCTTACCTTTAATGTCCGCTTCTTGTCGCAGAGGACTGTCAGGAGATTTCCGCTCCCTCAGATGTATACATCATGGTCACCTAGATAGAGCCAGATGCAGCCGTCACGAGCGCCATGCAGACGTTGCAAAGATGCTTGCCAGCACTTGGATCCATCAATCCGGCTTCTGTTGTCTTGAATACCTAGACTCTGACTTCTATGCGCTGACCTTAGTGGAGGTTTCTTCCTGGGTCTTGCCACGCGTGCGGTTGCGATGCGCATATTGGAGCCGTAAGCTTCACTCCACTCGAACCCTTCCAGCATTGAACCGGCCTCGTGTGGCAGAAGCAACCTCTGACAGAGGCATTCTCGGATGTCATTGAAGTTGGCAGCCATGAGATCGCGTTGTGAAACCTGTATAAAGTATGAAAGGCACCGGGCACTCCGCCAAAGAGTGGTTCATCTGCCATTTTTTGCGCATGTAAGCCCTAGCAACCCAAACCCTTCTGGCTTCTGTTCAAGCTGTGGGAGTTCCCGGAGATTCCCTATCATGGAGCCCGGCCCAATGCTTGTTTGTTGCCGCGCTTTTGGGCTGCTAACCTAATCTACTTCAACCGCATAAAGAGGCCCCAAGCCTGAATTTAATCCTTGTGGGAGTTTGCCAAATTAGCACCTTTGTGATGCTGAGACTCCTTGCATCCAGGTTGGGGAGTCCTACGGCCGGCGGCGAAGGACTGTTCTGCGACAGTGGCAGTTGTAGACTTCTAAGATTTCTCAAGGCAGACGTTTGGAGGGTCCTTATGATAAGGACAGTATGATTTTGGGGCGTGCGCAGGGGATCCTGATTTCGAGTAAATACATCTCTAGTGGCAGTTTCAACTTGACCTCAGCCCACGATCAATCTGGCAAGGCGAAGCCCATATGTTAAGGGAGGCTGCCTGGCCTCCATCCATGAACACATGATGTTGTCTTGATCCTTGTGCTTCTGAGATAGATTCGCAACAGGGATTACCCCAAACGAGACCGGCATCATGACAACCATCCACGTGGGCCTGGCCCCTAACCCTAAACCGGCCTAAACCCTGTAATCCCCAAACCCTAAGCCCAAAACCCAAAACCCTCCCTCCTCCCTCTCTTGTATTTCTGGGCCACCCACCGCCTGAGCACTGGAGGAGAAGATCCTGACAGAGGAGCCGAAGCCTGAGAGGAATGATGAGATTGTCATCCCTTTCAGCACAGAAACTCGGCGGAAGCACGTAAGGACCGAGACAATATAACCCTGAAAAACTCCCCTATCAGCTCCGGACTAAAGTTAGGTTGGGGGAGAACCTATATGGGAACATCTAGGAAAAAACAGGGGGGGACCTATTAAGGAATTTACTCGGACTTAGTCCAGAGCTCAATAATTCCGTATATAATACCCTTTAAGAAGCCTAGTCTAGCAGAGGAGTTTGTGTGAACGGAGCTTTGCCAAGGAGATTACCGGCAGGCGCTTGCGCCACATCTCCGAGTTTGCTTTGAGGAGCCGCCGGGTTAGCAGGGGATAAGGGACTATATTGGGCATTAAAGAGGGATAATGGACAAAATGGAAACAACTACGTTATAAATTTGGGTATATTGGGGTTAGTAGGATATATTATACAGGGAAACAAGAAGACAACGGACACTACTACGTCGTAGTTGTAAT